AAGCTCGTCAATGGGACTTGGTCGTTCGTCATGGGATTCTGACCTTGGATCCAGGTCAGTGATGTCAACCTGGGCTATGTGAGCCACTGTAGGAGGGTCACTTTTGTGGCGTTCCTCGGATGGCGAGACCTTTAGGCTTTCAGCATAGCACTGTCGAACTATTTTCTGATTTGCTCTGACCGAAATGATTTTGCCACTGCTCCCCGGGAACTTCATCGTCAAATGCGGGGTGGACACCACAGCTCCGAGTTGGTTCAGGGTAGGCTTGCTGATGATGATGTTGTACGACGTATTGGCCTAAACGAGGAGGTATCTGACCATGATTCTCCTTGAGTCAGGAGGTGTCCCAAAGGTTGTCAGCAGGTCAACATATCCGCGGGTGTGAACTCGCTCCCCTGCAAAACCGACTAGCTAGGGGTCCTGTGTGAGGTTGGATAAGAGAGTGAGGAATGTCTAACCTTAGGAACGTCGGCCAGTATAGGACGTCAGCCGAGCTTCTCTAGTCAATCAACGTCTTGTGGACTCCCAATTAGCGACTTCCACTGCGATGACCATGGGGTCATCGTGGTTCAGACAGATGCTAGTGTAGTCGTCGTCCGTGAAGGTGATGGGTGGTGTATTGTGGTGCGGGGCCGAGGTGGAAGTGTGGACATTGTTGATGTTGCGCAAATGTCTTTTGCGCGCCAAGGTGCTGGAGCCTCCTCCTGCGAAGTCACCTATAATTGTGTTGATGACTCCGCGTAAGGGAACCGATCCTGCATCCTGACTTACCTCGGCCTGCACCGTTCCACCATTATTCTGCTGAGATCGGGAGGGTTGGTCTACGTGGGTGCCAGAACCTCAGCCACGTCCTCGTCCTCGACCGTGGTAGCCTCCTCTGTGGGATTGTTACCGTTGGGCGTATTGTCTGAGGTGTCCTCCTTGGACGAGTTCCTCAATGCGGTCTTTGAGTGTACGACATTCCTCGATTGTGTGACCATAGTTTCTATGGTATCGACAATGCTTGGACTTGTCCGCACTATTGGGACTGTGTCCGGGTGGTGGCAGAGTGAGCAGGTTGGCATTGCTGGCCTCTTCTAGGATGTGTACTCGGGGCGCATTCAGGGGGGTGTAGAAGTCATACCTTCCTCCTTTGTTTGCCCTAGCAACTTTCTTGAATTGGTTGTCATTGGTAACCTTCATCTTGTCTTTGTGGCTGTGGTCCGGCTTCGCTTGAGATTTTCCACGGACTTGGTTGCAGAAAGCAGAGTGCTCCTCCATCTGAATGTACCCTGCAGCTCAGGCATGGAGTTTGTCCATGTCTGGTGGAGGTCGTCGACACAAGCTGTCAACGAAAGGTCTGGGCTTGAGCGCCATGAGCATGGCATGAAGGACGACCTAGGGATTTAGGTTGCGGATCTTGATCGAGGTGTTAGCAAAGCGCTCCATGAACGCCCTCAACGGTTTGTCATCGCCCTGTCTAAGACTGGCCAAGGCTGCCGATGTGACGTGGTGAGGTCGGCTGGTTGCGTATTGCGCCGTGAATCGTCTCACCAGAGTGTCGAAGTTGTCAATTGATCCCGTCGGCAATTGGGTATACCAGGCGAGTGCTGCTCCCTTGAGCAAAGTTAGAAAAACCCTACACAGAATAGCATCCTCATTAGTGTATATGTTTACCTGTGTGACGTACAGATTGACGTGCTCATCTAGGTCGGTAGTGCCATCGTAACGGTCGATGTTGAGAGGCTTCCACCCAAAAGGCAGGGGCGTCTCCATGATACCATCAACAAAAGGATGGCGACGGATGTTCGCCCTATGCCCTAGGGCTTGGGAAGGCGCATGGCTGACTTCATGGTCTGACCTATTCGTCAGCACATGTGACCGATGTATAGTAGACCTGTGGGTTGGTGCCCTGGGTGTAGTTGGTGGCTGGGAAACTGAGTGCCCCTCTTCCTCGTTTTGATTACTCAGTTGGGGGGTTGATCAGAAGGGCACCGAGGAAGCTGGGCGCGAATGCGCTCGTTCTCGGCACGCAGCGCCGCTAGGTCAGTTTCGTGCCGAGCACGGATGTTCTCCAGGTCGACGGCATGTTGTTGCCGCATTTGCTCGACCTGCTCGATCAGTCTCCTTAATGTTGCTTCACCTTCCATTCTTGTTGCGCGATCTAGGTCGTCTGTTGCTCGTCTACTATGGCTTCGGGTGAAAACCATAAGCGTGGCCGATAAGAGATGTCTTGATCGGCCCCACGATGGGCGCCAAATGTTCTTACTGGAGATCAGACGTCGTAAGACGATCTTCTGGGCAAGATTGGTGAACCTCCTTCGCTGGGTACGCTTGTGGCTCCAAAATGGGGGTGGTACCTGCAAAAGAGACTCTGATGCTAAAGTTAGTATTTGCGGGTGTACGAGTCTCGTATAAGTAGTGCACGTACCTTAGTGTGAATTAGGGTTTATCGGGGCCTTGGGCCCGAGATCAGTAGATGATGGGCCTTTGTCTTGGCCAATGTCACGCGGCGCGTGTCCAATGTCAATCTGCGCTATGATGTCGAGCTCAAGCTCGACTTTGCGGTACGAATAGTACAGGATCAAAGACATTTTATGTTGGGAGACCAACAAGAAGATGATCTTCAATGTTAGTTTGAATATTGGGTTGAGAGGAAAAAGTTGTAGCTTGGTCAGATGAGAAGGTATTTGATTAAGGTCCATGATTGGACCAGTTAAAAGCTGTGTGTATGACTCAACGTCGTGGTTGGAGGAAATATCATAAGAAAGGTGGGTTAGTGTTTTGATAACTTTGATAAATTTGATATGGTGAAAGTGAAGGTATTTATAATGGAAGGTTTTGACACCTAGAACGGGTCGTTCCAAAACCAGAACGGTCCGTTCCAAACTTTTAAAAAAGGCCTAAAACCCTAGTTTAGAACGACCCGTTCTGATTTTAGAATGCTCCGTTCTAGGTGTCAGAACGGCCCGTTTTGACTTTAGAACGGGCCATTTCAGATGCTAAATTAACACATGTTAAAGTAGAATGACTCGTTCTAGTTGTAGAACGGGTTATTCCAAAACGCGAAAAAAAAAAGTGAACAGTAAATGGTGTTAGTTGGGGAAATAAATTTGTAAAATTACTATTTAGGTAAAAAAAATTTAAAAATGCATTATTTGAGTAAAAAATTCGAATTATTGTATGTAAATATTATATAAAAAAGAAAAATTATTGCATCCAGATAATATTAAAAAGAGAAAAAATTATTGTACAGAAAATTTATAATAAAGTTGTTCGCTTTAATTAATATAAGTAAGTTCATGATTAATATAAGTAAGATAAAATAAGATAAGATAAATCATATTAAATACTAACTTTTGTATTTATTATTGGACTCGAATAATTAAGTCACTAAAGTGAAGAAATTTTTTTGAAAGAAAAAATGAAGAAAAGTTAAATTTCTTATTTAAGATAAATAAATATGTATTCTATTTCTTTCTAAAATTATCCACAAGTTAAAGACAACCTTAATATATGTTTCCAATGTTTTTGTTTTCTAAGAAAAAAGAATGAGATTATTTATATTTTAAGAGTCATAAATTAAATGAATTTTACTTAGTTGTTGCACTCAAAAAATGTATTTAATATGGGTATATTTGTAAAGAAAAAATAATTTTTGAGACATGCTCTATTTGTTCTTTATTATAAACAAGGAAAAAACACATTTTTTTTTTTATATTTTTAGTAAATAAATTTTAATTATTTTTGTTTCATTAAATGATACTCTCTTTAAAATATCATTCATTTAATGCATAACATTTTAGTTGCAGTACATTTTTGGCATTTCTAGCAAAGATAGTTTAGATAAAATATTATAATATTAGTTAAATTTAATATAGTTAAAAGATAAAAGATTTCTTTAATATGTCAATTTTTTTTATCTTCGTAATAAAAAAATAGAGGAAGTAATAAATTGAGTCTTATAAAATATTAAAATTAATTTAAAAGTTTGTGTATTATAATACGTACGCATCGAAAGTAATATTATTATCTTAGGGTAATTGATTTTCTTAATGTGAGTGGAAGAACCTTAAACATCAATAATGCATCTAGCATGGCAGGAGTAAATGAATGTATAAGTAGGTAAGTAAGGCTATAGATTACTAGGTACTAGTTAGGCACGTGATTAAATAAGTAGACAGTACTATCAGTGGGTCATGAAAGTATGAATGAATATATAATTTAAATTAAGCATATAGTATAAAAATTAGGGCACTGCTACCGTACCATGAAAATTAAAAGATTTTGATACATCACATTATATAAATAAATAAATTTAAAAAATAAATTTAAAACAACATAAATTTTAGATTAAAAATTTATATAAAATAAGACTAATTAAAAAAATAATTAAAAAGTTAATTTTTATAACAAATTTTATTTATATTTGACCAAATTAAAAAATTAAAAACAAAAAATTATATTAATATTATAAAAACATTAAAATAAAAAAATAAATAATATAACTAAAAAACTAATTTATACTATAAATTTAAAAAGTTATCACCAAAAAAAATTAAAACATATTAATAAAATATTAATATTAAACTTTTTAATTATAATAGTTGTTATATTAAGATATAAATTAAAAAATATAAAAATAATATAAAAATACAGATAAATTATTAAAAATATTAAATTAAAATAAAAATAAAACAAGTAATTATAAAAATAAAATAAAATAAAATAATTATTCCGGTACCCCATAATTAGAGTGAACAGCGTAGAATTTCTAAAAAAAATTATTGAAACCATCAGACATATTTATTCATAATAGTAATTACTAAGCCTTTAAATACCTAAGTCTTTAGGGCTTAATTAGTAAATGTTCTCACCCTCCTAACATAAAAAGTAATAAAGTTAAGAAACATATTATAAGACAGGATGTGAAGAATAGCCAATAATTAACAATAACTTTTCGTTTGGAAACTCTCCACAAACATGGAAATTTGGTACACATTTCTGAAATATCTAACTTTTATGGATCTTGTTGTTGCAAGTTGAACCAAAGACCTGACAGCTATCTTTCTTTTATATATAGGACTTACTAGCTATCATATCCAGTACCAAACAACCCACGCACTGCGTAACATAGCTTAAACTAGTAGTTCTGAAATTTTGCTTGATGGAGCAACACAATCCAACACATGTGGTTCTTGTTTCAAGCCCAGGTTTGGGGCATATCATTCCAATGATTGAGCTGGCGAAGCGCTTCGTCCTTCAACACAACTTCAAAGCCACCGTCCTCGCCGTCACTTCCCAAACCTCAACCGCCGAAAAGCAGATTCTGAACTCAGCCCTCACACCCTCCCTCTGCCACGTCATCGACATCCCTTCCCCCGACATCAGCAACCTCGTCCAACCAAACGACCGCATGGTCACGCGCCTCTGCGTCATGATGCGCGAAGCCAAACCCGCCATAAAAAGTTTCCTTTCCAAAACTACCCCTCGCCCTTCCGCACTCATTGTCGACATCTTCTCCACCGAGTCCATTCCCCTAGCTAGAGAACTCAACATTCTCAGCTACGTCTACGTGGCGTCACACGCTTGGTTCGCAGCCTTGGTCCTGTATTCCCCTTTGCTCGACGTGCAGATAGAAGGAGAATACGTTCACCAAAAAGAACCGCTCAAAATCCCCGGTTGCAACCCGGTTCGACCGGATGAGGTGGTGCACCCCATGCTGGACCGGAGCAACAGAGAGTACAAAGAGTTTCTCACAACAGGAGGCGGAATCCCGCTAAGCGACGGCGTTTTGATTAACACGTGGGAGGAGCTTCAGCGTGAAACGCTCCAGGCGTTGAGAGAGGGAGGTTTGTTGAGCGAAGCGCTCAACATGAGGATCCCAATCTACGCTGTTGGACCTCTCGTGAGGCAACCCGAGTCAGAAACGAGTTCCGTGACTCACTCGTTGCTGACGTGGCTCGATGAGCAACCGACCGAGTCGGTCGTCTACGTCTCGTTCGGCAGCGGCGGAACGATGTCGTGTGAGCAGATGACGGAGCTGGCGTGGGGGTTGGAGTTGAGTGAGCGGAGATTTATTTGGGTGGCGCGCGCGCCCACGGAAGAAGCTGTGGACGCGGCGTTTTTCACCACCGGGAGTAACGCTGGTGATGAGGTGGCCAAGTATTTGCCGGAAGGGTTTCTGTCCCGGACGCGCGGATTGGGCCTGTTGGTCCCGGAGTGGGCCCAACAAGCGAATATACTGAAGCATGGTTCTGTTGGGGGTTTTGTGTCGCACTGTGGGTGGGGTTCGACGCTTGAGAGCTTGACGAACGGTGTTCCGTTGGTGGCGTGGCCGCTGTACGCGGAGCAGAGGATGAACGCGACGCTGCTGGCTGAGGAGTTGGGCCTGGCGGTGCGGCCCAAGGTGTTGCCCTCTAAGAAGGTGGTGGGGAGGGAGGAGATAGCGCGTACGGTGAGAGAGGTTATTCCCGATGACCAAAGTTTGACGAGCAATAGTGTTAGAGAGAGAGTGAAAGAGATGCAACAGAGCGCACTGAATGCTCTGTCCGAGGATGGTTCGTCTTATGTTGCGTTGTCGCACGTGGCGAAAACAATTGAAAGAGGGTGTGGAAAATTTGATGCAGCATTCTAAAGAAATACAAGACTAGGAGTGATTATTCTATGTAATATTAATAAGCATATAAGTAAGTTCTTGTTACCTCTTTATTTTAATATTTTGAGTTGTGCGAATTGAATTTCTCAATATCTTTTAATTATTGTTTTTTAAATCAAGTAATTATAGTTACTAAATGAACAAAAAGTAAAGCTGGAGAAAATCTTTCAAACATAAACATAAAACAAATAGAGAATTAGAGTTAATCCCACTATCCGATATATATTTTCACATTCATAATGATGTTTCTCCCTTTTCCTTATCTTATTAAGCAGAAAAGCATTAACCATAATTATCCAAAACTCCTTCTCTCTTTTAATAAATAATTAAATAATATAACCTTTAATTATAAAATCTCATAATATATTCATATAAAAATAATTATAAATAATTAATAAAGTTAACATATTTAATTATCACAAAATATATTTAATATTTAATAAAATAATTATTAATCAACTCTTCTTAATAAAATAAAATATCAAAATTATTAATAAAATACACATATTATATTTAATGAAAACGAAGTGTTACAATTCTCTCATCCTTTTTAGAAATTTCATTTTCGAAATTACCTTAAACAAATAGAATCACATACCCTTCCAGCATGTGACTTTCTAATTCTCATGTCACATTTTCTCACCAAACAACCTTGATTAAAGGAATTTTTTGACCTCTTAATTGTTCCACTCTCTTATCCTTAATCCTCAAAGGTATAGTTTCATAAGTGATGTTATCCTTCAATTGAATGTTGTCAAATTCAAGCGAGTTATGAATGTATTTTCTAAGTTGAGAAACATAAAACACACTATAAAGATTTGAAATAGACAGAAACGTATGCAATTTGATAAGTAACATCACCAATTATTTTAAGGATTTGGTAAGAAACAATGAATCATGAAATAAACTTGCAATTTAAGTACTTTATTGACTTTCCACGAAGGAATTACTTTAAGGAATACATGAACTTTCTTTTTAATCTCAAAGTCTTTCATTCTCTTGTTCTGATAGCTCTTTTGTCTCCTTTGAAATGCTCTCATCTAAGCAAGATCTAATTTAAGGAATTCATCTAAGTGGGTTGAATGCTCTGTCCGAGGACGGTTCGTCTTATGCTGCGTTGTCGCACGTAGCGAAAACAATTGAAAGAGGGTGTGGAAAGTTTGATGAGAAATACTATGGTACCCATCTTATTTGAGAGGGTACCGGTACAATTTTTTATATTTTATATTTTTAATAATTTATTTAAATAATATTTATGATATTTTATTCTTTTAATTTTTAAATTATTTAGTCATTTTATTTTTATTTTATATATTCTAATTTATTTGTAATAATATTATTATATATTTAAATAGTTTAATTTTAATAATTTTTTAAATATATTTTTATCTTTTCACTTAAAATTTTTGGATTTTTATATTTTAATTTTAATAATTTTTTAAGTATATTTTTTTGTCTTTTTGTCTTAAATTTTTAATTTCTATATTATAATTTTAATAATTTTTTATTTCTACTATTTATTAATTTTTTTATTTTTTAATATTTTATAATATTATTGAAATCTTATAATTTTAATTTCTATAATTTTATCTTATTTTTTATTTTATAAGTATAATTTGGATTATTCATTTTATAATTAAATTATTATTTTTTAAATCTTTAATGAGTTTACATAAAAAAAATATATTGAAACTTCTCAATTTTTGAGGGTACCGTAGCAACTCCCAAATTTGATGCTTGTTCAGTGCAGAGTTCTAAAGAAATAGAAGATGATTGTTCTATGTAATATTAATAAGCATATAAATAAGTTCTAGTAATTACCTCTTTATTTTAATATTTTGAATTGTGCGAATTCGATTCTTCAATATCTTTTAATTATTGTTTTCTAAATCAAGTAATTATAGTCCCTCTACGAATTTGATTTCTCAATCTCTTTTAATTATTGTTTCTAAAATCAGGTAATTCTGGTCCCTATGCCGTTTATTTTTACTTAAAATTCTATATTTAATTATTTATATGTTTACGATAAATGTAAAATATAAACGATTTAAAAATTTAGAAGTAAAATTTTTTATGTTGGATATGTTCTTACCGGAAATCTGCTGTAGAGCTGATCCGCCGGGTAAGATTGGTGAGCCTCTTTCACTGGGTGTATTGGTGCTCCGAGATGGGGGAGGTACCTGCAAAAGAGACTCCGATGCTAAAGTTAGGGTTTGTATGAGTATGAGTCTCGTATATATAATGCACATACCTTTGTGTGAATTAGGGTTGTCTTGGGCCTGAGATAAGATATGATATGATATCATATAATATGATATGATCACGTTGTGACATGATATGGTATAATTGGAGAACGGTTTTGGCCTGGGACGAGATCTCCGGGCTCGGGCGTGGTCTGTCTGGATTCCGGGCTGACGTTGTTCAACGCGTGCCCGGGATGACCCTTATAATGTCAACCCGGGCTGAGAGCCCGGGTGCGAAATGCGGTCAGTACACTAGCCCCCCGAGCTCCGAAGGCCGTAGGCCGAGGAGTTAAGGTCGGGCTCGTGAGAGGAGAGGTGGCTTTGCGCGTACGCTAGCTGGAGGCTCGCCACGTGTCGCGACTGTTCATGCTCTGGAGACGTTTGATTGACGTACTGGGGGCAGTGACGGTTTTTTAATGATGGTTTGGTAATAAGTGTGTCGTCGGGTGTGCCTTTCAACTGACACGTGTCGCGTCGGTTTTGAATTTCGGGGAGAGTTTTAGCCTTTCTCTCTTCTCGCGCCTCTTCCCTGTCTTTCTTCTGACTTCTCGAGTACGAGAGCTTTTCTTGGTTCCCTTTACCTCCTTTCTCTTTTGCGCTTCCGTCGCCGTCGTCGTTTCCGGTAGTCCCTTCTTTGTTAGGGTTGTTTTCTGAGGAGGAGTACCAGGTACTTCCTTTTTATTTGCTTCTTCTCTTTTTTCATGGCCGGTGGAAGTGGTGCCGGATCCTCTGCGTCTGCCAGGGGCAAGGCGCGTGGCAAGGTGGTGGTCGCCGGAAGGGTCACTATTGAGAAGAAAGATTCGCCACCACCTAGGGCCCCAGAGCCGGGCGTTCGTGGTTACGACTGGGTCAAACGCGAGGTGGCCGAGGCTCAGAGCATTTTTCGCTCTTTCCTCGAAGTGAATGCGTTTCGAAGAGCGCATGGGGTTTGCGATTCCTCCATTTCCCACATGATTAGGCTTGAGCCCTGTCAGGCTGATGAGGGCGTGTATATGGGGAGGTCTACTGATCCCCCTCATTTCTATGTATATCAATGCTTTTTTAGGGATTTGGGTGTCTGTCTTCCTTTTACCCAGTTTGAGTGCGATTTTTTGAATTTCATCAACGCGGCTCCTTGCCAGTTGCATCCCAATAGTTGGGGTTTTTTGAGGGCTTTTCAGGTCCTGTGTACAGTTCTAGGTATAGAGGTGTCTCTTCGCGTCTTTCTTCATTTTTATCAGTTGAAGATGGGCGTTCCGCCTTATGGCATTTTGTCCCTGAGCGGGAGTAGGGATGGGGGCTTGTTTACTCCCTACTCCCAATCGTACAAAAATTTCAAGCAGGAGTTTTTCCGGGTCGCCCTTGTGGGTGTTGACCCTTTGGAAGACGAGGTGTTCTACTTCGGCGGTTTGCCGAGGTTTCCATTCTATTGGTGTCCCAAGCCGTCTAGGTTTCACGGTTTGGGGGATCTGAAGGTGACGGCCGCGGAGACGGCCGCCATCAAGAATCTTGCCGCGCTCCCTCGTCCGTTGGATTGCAAGCTCGTCTTGTCGCTTGCGAATTCGCCTTTCAGGGAGAGGGGCCTAGAGAGTGAGTATTATGTGCTCTGGTAGGTTTTTAGGACTTGTGTAGTTGCCGGTTATTGATGTGTTTCTGTTTCTTTTCTGCAGGCATTATGGGCAGAAACTTGTGGCGTCAGCTTAAACACCGCTACAATGTTTCCGAGCTCGAGGTTCCCGAGCCTCCGGAGGAGGATGCTGTCTCCCTAAAGACCCACCGGAAGAGGAAGAGGGGGAAGGAGGAGGTCGGGGGGACCTCCGCTTCTCACGATGTCGAGGAGGCGACCTCCCGGGTTGTGGACGCTGTGGATCTCACCGACAGCCCTCCGGCCAAGGAGGCCTCGCCAGTGGCTACGGCGGAGGTGGTGCAGGGTGTCGGGCTTACTGCACCGGACGCCGAGGTGAGTAGCTTATCATATGCACGCGTTTTCCGTGTTAATTCCCCGTCTTTGTTTCTTGAGGCGTTATGGATCCCTTTGCAGGGCGGGGTTGGCGTTGCTGAGGTGGAGGTCTGCGTTTCCGAGCAGACCGTCCGAGTTGCCAAGGTGGTAAGTATTGTCTTCTCGGACTTTTCACTCTGGCTTTTTGCTATGTTGCCTGGCTGTTTGATCTGGGTGATTTTTTGTAGGCAGGAAGTGCCTCTGGGCCTGAGCTGCAGGCGGGGAAAGCCGCTGAGCCTGAGGTGCAGGCGGGAAATGCCGCTGATCCTGAGGTGCAGGCTTCCGGGCTGGCCGCCCAGGCTGCTGGGGTGAGTCTGGTTTTTTGTTTTGTTTTGTTTTGTTTTTGTGGCTTTCTCGCATGTCTCCTTATCTATTTGTGATGCGGGACTGGTGTTTGCAGGCGGGCTCATCGCAGGGGCCTTCCCGGACCCAATATCTGTCCCATCGCTTTGGGAAGGGGATAGATACGGTGCGGCTGGATCACGTGAGCGCGTCCGCCGGTATGGATTCATTATGGAGCGCGGGGGTGACCGCGGAGAGGTTCTTTCCTCAGGGTTCGTTGAGCTCCGAGGACCAGGGATTGATTGACAGGATCGGTCCCGAGGACAGTTTTGATGCTGCCCAGGTCATGCTGCAGAGGGTGATAGGCATAATGAGTCACTGGAAACCCAAGTGGGGCCAGCAGCGAGAAGACTTGGCCAAGCAGCAGCAGGAGCTGGCTAAGCGGGAGCAGGAGCTGGCCAAGCAAGAGCAGGAGCTGGCTAAGGTGAAGGGCCGGCTTCAGCCATGGAAGGAGGCGAACAAGATCCTGAGGGAGGATAACAAGGCTCTCACCGCGGCTCTTGATGAGGCGAAGCGGCGGGAGGCTGAGCTCCGGACCGCGCGTAGCGACCTTGCGCGGGTGCAGAAATCTCTTGAGATTGCATTGCGGTCCAATGAGGCTTATGCTTCTCGAGTGGGGGAGCTGCAGGGGCTCGCCGCTTTTTCTCGGGCGCGGGCCCGTTCTTTGGAGGACGAGGTGACGTCCTCCCGTGACCAGGTGCGGGTCTTAGAGGATGTTGTGGCCTCTCTAAAGGGGGAGTTGGCAGCGGCGGCTGAGGAGCGTCTCCGCAGTGAGGCCATTCTGGGTGGTCGAGAGGATGAGATTGCTGCGCTGAGAGTAGAGCTCGTGGAGCTGGCAGCGGGGAAAGCGGCCGTGGAAGGACGGCTCGTCGAGATGGAGCGCTCCGTCGTGGCAGAGCATAAGAGGGGCTTTCAGAAGGCTGCCCGTCAGGCACGACTTCTTGCTCCCGGGTTCGACTTCTCCTCGATGCATGTGGAGAAGGTGGTCCGTCGTGGGAGGATTGTTTCGGAGGACGATGTTAACGACAGTTCCAGTGAAAATGCCTCCGCTTAGGTTTTCTTTGTAATTTTGGTTTCCTTTCTCTTTGGCGTGAATTGATGTACTGAATCTTGTGAACTTTGCTTGTATACATGTATGCATGTTGCTCTATTTTGTTCGTTTTGGGTTTAATTTTGGCTGTTCGCGCTGTTTGAAGCGCATGTTTGGCGTCTGTTATATGCTTTTGTATCGGGTGATACCTCTTATCTTGCGCTAGTGACGTCGAGATTCGAGGTCGGCCTTAGTTGCTTGCTCAGTAGGGTTTTTCGTGGAAGTTCGGACTCGGCCGTAGATGAATGTGTTAAGATTCGTATTCGATCTCAAATTGTGACTTTGTAATTGTTGTGAGAGTTTATAAATGACCCTAGGCTGGAGTCAAGGTCAGAATTCAATCCTAAGTTGGTCGTGCCGGGGTTCGAATTCGACCCCGGTATCGAGAGTGGGGTGTGCTTTGCCAGGGTTCAAAGTTGTCCTCAGGTTAGTGGTTTGGTATCGACCTTTAAGGGAGAATTCGTGTGTGTGTTGAGATTCGTATTCGACCTCGGATTTTGAATTAGGCGACTTGGTTAGGTTCGGACTCGACCTTTAAGGGGGAGCATCGAGGCTCATACTCGACCTTGTATGCTAAACGAGGTTCGGGCGTGACTTCGAACTTCTGTTTGGGTGAGTGTCTCTGTAGAGGCTTGATGACCTTGATTTATTAGCGTCGAGGTATTGCGCCGACCTCAAGCCGGAGTGTAGTAGGTTGGATAAGTGGTCCATGTCCGCCCTTAAGTTTAGGGTCATGCATGTTTTGTCATGGATCGAACTCGATTTCGGGTATGTGGTCGGGACTCGACCTCCGAATGAGTTACTAGGGTTCGACCTTGACTTTTGACAAGAGCGTCGAGGTTTGCACTTGACTTCGTAAATTGCGAGCGGGTTCCATTAAGGTTCGGACTCGACCTTTGAAGAAAGCGTCGGGGTTCGTACTCGACCTCGGATTTGACGTTTGATTAAGGTTCGAACTGGACCTCGGATTTTTGCGAATGAATGGGTTAAGGTTCGTGTTCGGCCTTTAACGAGAGTGCTGGGGTTCGTGCTCGACCTCGGGTTTGCCTTTTTAAGGTTCGAACTCGACCTTTATCAAGGATACCGGGGTTCGTGCTCGACCTCGGGTTTGCATTTTTAAGGTTCGAACTCGACCTTTATCAAGGATACCGGGGTTCGTGCTCGACCTCGGGTTTGCATTTTTAAGGTTCGAACTCGACCTTTATCAAGGATACCGGGGTTCGTGCTCGACCTCGGGTTTGCATTTTTAAGGTTCGAACTCGACCTTTATCAAGGATACCGGGGTTCGTGCTCGACCTCGGGTTTGCATTTTTAAGGTTCGAACTCGACCTTTATCAAGGATACCGGGGTTCGTGCTCGACCTCGGGTTTGCATTTTTAAGGTTCGAACTCGACCTTTATCAAGGATACCGGGGTTCGTGCTCGACCTCGGGTTTGCATTTTTAAGGTTCGAACTCGACCTTTATCAAGGATACCGGGGTTCGTGCTCGACCTCGGGTTTGCATTTTTAAGGTTCGAACTCGACCTTTATCAAGGATACCGGGGTTCGTGCTCGACCTCGGGTTTGAATTTTTAAGGTTCGAACTCGACCTTTATCAAGGATACCGGGGTTCGTGCTCGACCTCGGGTTTGAATTTTTAAGGTTCGAACTCGACCTTTATCAAGGATACCGGGGTTCGTGCTCGACCTCGGGTTTGAATTTTTAAGGTTCGAACTCGACCTTTATCAAGGATACCGGGGTTCGTGCTCGACCTCGGGTTTGAATTTTTAAGGTTCGAACTCGACCTTTATCAAGGATACCGGGGTTCGTGCTCGACCTCGGGTTTGAATTTTTAAGGTTCGAACTCGACCTTTATCAAGGATACCGGGGTTCGTGCTCGACCTCGGGTTTGCATTTTTAAGGTTCGAACTCGACCTTTATCAAGGATACCGGGGTTCGTGCTCGACCTCGGGTTTGAATTTTTAAGGTTCGAACTCGACCTTTATCAAGGATACCGGGGTTCGTGCTCGACCTCGGGTTTGACTTTTTAAGGTTCGAACTCGACCTTTATCAAGGATACCGGGGTTCGTGCTCGACCTCGGGTTTTACGCGCGCGATTGGATTACGGGGGTTCTATTTTCGTGTTTACAGTAATTGATGCGGTAATATTTAAGGAAATGCAATGAGTGAGCGAAAAGGAGAATATTATTAGATAATCCTGCCGTGCCTCGTTAAAAACCCTCTCCGTTTAGGACGGAGGCGGGAAAAGAGTGCGCGGTTTCGCTTTTACAAATGTGAAATTAGAGTTTAGGGGCATGTAGTGGGGGGACTCTTCTTGCCCTCCTTGCCGGACGCGGAGATCCTCAGGCTTTCGGCGTAGCATTGCCGAGCTGTCTTCTGGTTTGCTCTGACGGAGATAATTTTTCCGTCCTTTCCTGGGAACTTCATGGTGAGGTGCGGGGTGGACACCACCGCGCCGAGATGATTTAAGGTCGGCCTCCCTATTATGATGTTATAGGAGGTGTTGGCCTCCACGAGGAGGTATCGGACCATGATTCTTCTGGCGTCCGGGGGTGTGCCAAAGGTTGTGAGCAGGTCCACGTATCCGCGGGTGTGGACCCGTTCACCGGCGAAGCCAACTAGGGGCTCTGTATGCGGCTGGATGAGAGAGTGAGGGACGTCGAGCTTGAGGAAAGTTGGCCAATACAGGACGTCTGCCGAGCTCCCCTGATCGATGAGTGTCTTTTGGACTTCCCAGTTTGCAATTTCTACCCCGATGACCATGGGGTCATCCTGATTGGGGCTGATCCCTGCGTAGTCCTCGTCGGAGAAAGAGATTGGTGGTGAGCTCTTGTAGGGGATCGAGGCAGTGGAATGGGCGCAGTTGATACTGTGGAGGTGTCTTTTTCGGGCTGAGCTGCTGGCACCTCCTCCGGCGAAGCCGCCTGCAATTGTGTTGATTATTCCCCGCAGGGGGGCTGGTTCGGTCTCCTGGCTTATTTCAGCCTGTACTGCGCCATTGGCGTTTTGCTGAGGTCCTGTGGGTAGGTCCCCCCGAGCTCCTGATCCGCGGCCTCTCCCGCGTCCCCGGCCTCCGGAGCCACCTCGGGAGCCTGGCTGTCGCTGAATGTAGTGGCCGAGGTGTCCTGCCTGGATGAGTTCCTCGATGCGGTCCCGGAGTGTGCGGCACTCGTCTGTGGTATGGCCATAGTTTCTGTGATACCGACAGTGTTTGGACTTGTCAGCACTGTTTGGTGTGTGGCCGGGTGGTGGGAGGTCTAGCAGGTTGCTGTTACTGGCTTCCTCCAAAATGTGGACTCTTGGGGCGTTCAGAGGGGTGTAGAAGTCGTACCTCCCGGCTCTGTTTGTCCTGGCTGACTTCTTGAATTGGCTGTCGTTGTTGACTTTAACCTTGTCTTTGTGGCCCTGTTCTGGTTTAGCGGGGCCCTTACCGCGAACCTGGTCGCGGAAGGCCGCGTGCTCCTCCATTTGAATGTAGCCGGCGGCGCGGGCGCGCAGTTCGTCCATATCGCGAGGGGCGTCGCGACATAGGCTGTCGACGAACGATCCGGGTTTCAGTGCCATGAGCATGGCGTGTAGGGCGACTTCCGGGTTTAGATTTCGGATCCGGACTGATATGTTAGAGAAGCGCTCCATGAAGGCCCGTAGGGGCTCGTCGTCATTCTGTCTGAGGTTGGCCAAGGCGGCCGAGGTTGTGTGGTGAGGTCGGCTGGTGGCGTACTGTGCCGTGAACCGCCGCACCAAGGTGGCGAAACTGTCAATGGACCCTGCCGGCAGTTGGGTGTACCAATGGAGCGCGGGTCCTTTAAGCGAGGTCGGGAAGACCCTGCACAGTATAGCGTCACTGTTAGTGTAAAGGTTTACCTGAGTCGTGTACGCGTCGACGTGCTCATCGGGGTCCGTAGTGCCGTCGTAGCGGTCGAGGTGGAGGGGCTTCCACCCGCGGGGTAACGAAGTCTCCATGATGCCGTTCACAAAGGGATGACGGCGGAAAGGCTCTTGGCCCTCGGAGACATGAGTGGGGGCCTTGCTGGTGCCCTGCCCTGATCTGTGTGTTGATGCATGAGACCGGTGCGTGGCGGGCTGTGAATGTGGTGCCTTGGTGGTTGCTTGGGAATGGGGGGCTGAATGCGCCTCCTCCTCATGATCACCGCTGTCGTGCGGTGGCTGGCCGGGGCGATGCCGAGGGAGCTGGGCGCGGATGCGCTCGTTCTCGGCGCGTAGCGCCGCTAGGTCTGCTTCGTTAGCGGTGCGCATCGCCGCGAGGTCATTCTCATGCTGGGCACGCATATTCTGGAGGTCGGCGTCGTGCTGTCGCCGCATCTGCTCGACTTGTTCGACCAAACGCCTCAGGGTCGCGGTATCGCTGTCCATGGTAGTTGAGTTGCTTGTGTTATCTGTTGCTCGTCTAATATGGCTTCTGGTAGAAACCATGCAGGTGGCCGATGAGAGCTTGGTCTGATCGGCCCCACGGTGGGCGCCAAATGTTCTTACCGGAAATCTGCTGTAGAGCTGATTCGCCGGGTAAGATTGGTGAGCCTCCTTCGCTGGGTGTATTGGTGCTCCGAGATGGGGGAGGTACCTGCAAAAGAGACTCCGATGCTAAAGTTAGGGTTTGTATGAGTATGAGTCTCGTATATATAATGCACATACCTTTGTGTGAATTAGGGTTGTCTTGGGCCTGAGATAAGATATGATATGATATCATATAATATGATATGATCACGTTGTGACATGATATGGTATAATTGGAGAACGGTTTTGGCCTGGGACGAGATCTCCGGGCTCGGGCGTGGTCTGTCCGGATTCCGGGCTGACGTTGTTTAACGTGTGCCCGGGATGACCCTTATAATGTCAACCCGGGCTGAGAGCCTGGGTGTGAAATGCGGTCAGTACAGGATATAATCTGAATATTTTTATTAGACGTGAGACTAGTATATGAAGAAAGAAAGGTTTGATATTTTTTATTTTGAGTGAAATTTATTATTGAATTTTGATAAAAAAAAATAATAAATTTATTTTGAAAATAATTGATAAAAAATTAAAATTACTTAATTTAAAAATAGATGAATTTATTTAAATAAAAGAAATTTAAAAATTTAAAATAGAGGAAATAAATAATATAAAATGGGACTAGCATAGTTGATCGAATAGAATGTGGGAGTTGTTTTACATTTCTTTTATACCAATTTCAATTCACATAAATTTAAAAGTATAAAACTAAATTAAAAGAAAATATGTAATCTTTTTATCTATTTACTATTATATAGAATAGTTTACTATTATTTAGAACGAGTGTAAAAGAAATATTAAGTGTCTCTATAAATGATAAAATAATTAATATTTAATAAAATTTAGACTAAATTACATTTTTAATTTTTAATTTTATCTCATTTTATTATTTTTATGAGACAAAAATGAGAATTAATATAAAATTTAGTCTAAATATTATTAAATGTTAATAATTATATTATTTATTTAATATCAAATTATATTTCATATTATAATTTTAATTATCAAAATTGATAAATATTTATTAAATATCAAATTTATAAATTTTATAAAATTAAGGGATTAAAATTATAAAAAAATTAAAATTAAAATAAATATTTAATTTATTAGTATTTTTAATTAAAATTATTTTTATGAAATATTTATAAATAATTTAGTAAA